GAGAGTAAAAGAGAGAGGAAGAAAGAAAGGAAGAGGGGGAAAGAGAGAGATTCAGAGAGAGATTTTCCTAGCGGTAATTCAGAGTAATATACAATTGAGATACAAGGTTATGTATACATCTCTCCCTGACCACCCACCACACTTCCTCCAGATGCCAACCCATTCATTTTCTCTTCTCTCTGAACAACCTGGCTTTGGTCCCCAGGAAAAGAAGCATTAACGCTGTCCGTGGTCCTGATTTCCTCCCTCTACCCTTCCCCAAATGTGGTTTGGGGAAGCTCTACGGAAAAGAGTTCTACTGAAAAAAATCCCTAAATGACACGTGGAGGGTTGGTCCAACCCTCTGACTGTGGAAAATGTACACTATCTGTCTCATTCGTCTCACATAACTTGCCCCTTCACACTTTCCCAACTGCCTTACCAAAATCATATCTGCAGCTGGACAGCATTTGCCATTCTAGAAACAAAAGAATATCCTTGCAACCAAGAATGTAGGATGTGGAGAAATGACTAGACAAAGGAGACATCCTTATAAGCCCTCAACAGAGTACAACAATCCCAGTAGAAGGAGAATAACAGGCCATTCTAGGACCACCTAGAAGACAAGTCTCTCCCAATCCAGGAACTATTCCCTGATAGTATGACCCGTGTAAAGCAGGGGTGTAGACTGTGACGAGCAGCACTGAACCTGAAAGTGCTGATTCTACCACTGGCAACAACCATAGATTTTAAAAAATCATGTGGATTCCTGGATTGGAAGTAACACTTGTTGCCTCACCAGTCTCCCCTACAGCCCATGCAAAAAAGATCAGATCATCATAGCTACAGTGTTAATTTTGAGATGCAGAAGGTGATGGCCCATGAAGTGGGCCTGTCTGACTGACAGTGCGAACATTGAGTGGTAGCATCACAGAGTCTATAGGAGAAACTGTCCAGGTAAAAGATCTTTGCTCAAACTCATGAGAAGGGGCACCCTCCGACTTTCCCTCCTCAAATAAGAGCCTATTGCAGGAATGGTGAATGGAAAAGAGAAATATCCGAAAGAAACTCCAAAAAAGCATGATTTGGGGGTTTCTTGCTGAAGAGGCTGGGACAGAAGTAAGGACACACAACCATGACATATCTTCCTCCCGATCCAAAACTTGGGATCATCTCAGAGGACCTCTCTATTCATCATTCTCCTGGATACTCTGTCTACTTTAAAAAAACAAATGTGCAGAGTGCAGGAATTCTAAAAGGAACTACCGTGTTAGGAGTTAAAGCACGAATATAGTAAAACAGGCGCACCCGCGCGCCCCGAGGCTGAACACTTGATGTCAAGGCGACACCGCCAAACCTCGCCCAGAGTCAGGCGTGTAAGCCAGCTCGCCGGTAGCGGCGAGCCGGAGGGAGCACGAGGCGACGCTGGCTGCGGGGACCCGGTGACAGCGCGAGAGGTACTAGAATTTACAAGTTTGCACCATGGGTGAGTATAAAGCTAGTCGTTCTTGGCTCGGGAGGAGTTGGAAAATCTGCTCTGACTGTACAATTTGTTCAAGGAATTTTTGTTGAAGAATATGATCCTACGATAGAAGATTCTTATAAAAAGCAAGTTGAAGTAGATGCACAACAGTGTATGCTTGAAATCTTGGATACTGCAGGAACGGAACAATTTATAGCAATGAGGGATTGACAAACGGACAAGGCTTTGCATTAGTTTATTCCGTCACAGCACAGTCCACATTTAATGATTTACAAGATCCGAGAGAACAGATTCTTTGCGTTAAAGACACTGATGATGTTCCAATGATTCTGGTTGGTAGTAAGTGTGACTTGGAAGATGAAAGAGTTGTAGGAAAGGAACAAGGTCAAAATTTAGCAAGACAATGAAACAACTGTGCATTCTTAGAATCCTCTGCAAAATCAAAAATAAATGTTAATGAGATCTTTTATGACCTAGTGCGGCGAATCAGCAGAAAAACTCCAGTGCCTGGGAAGGCCCGCAAAAAGTCCTCATGTGAGCTGCTTTAATATATTAAATGCATTGTAGCTCTGAGCCAGGTCTGAAGAACTGCTGCTCAATTCAACAGTGCCAGCATTCCAACTTTGTTAAACCTACCAACACCTTAAATGGACTTTCCGTGGTGGCACCCTTTAAGAGGCGGATGAAAGCTACTACATCAATTTGCACAGTCTAATCACTCTCCAGTTTCACAAGAGAGATTTTTACTTATATAATAGTCCTAGAGTATGCAGCTGATAAAACCAGAGGCTACAATCCAGTATTACTGCTAAGAGACATTTTTCATCCACCATTGTTGTACATGTATGAAAATGGTGTACTGTATACTTTAACACACTGCATACTTTGTATTGGAGAGTACAATAATGTAAATCCTAAAAGTACCACTATTTTAGCATAATAAAAGAAAGTCCAAAGGGGGGTAAAAAAAAAGAATATCGTAAAACGAATCAGCTTTATCCTTGCAAATTACTTTACAGATGTTGAACGTAAGCTGTTAAATTTAGACTTTAAATTTAGGAAAACATACTCATTTGGAAACATCAACTACAGAAGCATATAGAGCTTATTGTAAGGGAAAGCACAGAGTGAGCTCCAGTCCACTTAGGAAAATGCGGCCCATGTGCTGTTCCCGCTCCACTGTACTGCTGTCTCAATCTAACGCAAGGTGGCGCAAGTCCCTGCCAATTTTCCTTTATGCGTTGTATTTCTTAAAAGACACTTCAACGTATATGAAACTTTATAGGTGTTAAATCCCTACATGGCAAACTAGGGGTAAAACCACTTTTAAGACATGTGCTCAATTGAAAAAGACAAGCCATTACTCAAAGAACAAGGTTAAGAAACAACCTGGCAGCCTGAAGTTCAATGAATAGAAACAAGATGCTGTGCAAAACATACCATAACTGAAGTCTGTAAATCTGACTAATCGTAAGGTGTTTAGGGGAATTCAAATGAAGTATAATATTTATTCTTTACACAAATAAATATATAGCCTCATTGAGGACATATGCATCATATATGCATCAAACGGTTATATGGCAGCACAAGGTATGACACCATTAAAAGAACAAACCAGCATTTATTAAGGACCAACCATGTGGCATTTTATACTTAGCACCACATTTAATTCTAAAACAAAACAAAACAAAACAAAAAACCTGCTTCATATCATTCTTCGTATTTTACAGATGCAGTAACTAAGGCTGAGAACCTAAGGAACTCTCCTAAGATCAATAGATCGTTAAGTGGCAGAAGCAAGATTCAAGCTCACCCCGTCTAACTGCAAAGCCAGCCTCATGACTTAAATGTCAAAGTGAATAACAGCACAGATAATAAATGTTTCAGAAATTCAGAGAAGGGATGATCCCTCTGCATTTAGTAGCTGAAGAATCACTGCCATAATTAAAATGCCATTGCTTTTACATCAAGTCCACTCTTTCCTTTCCACTAAGTGTGAATCTTAAACAAGACTCCATCCAACCTCTACTTGAATATCTCCATCAATGGGGAAATTACCTCCCCTGACCACACATTCATGCTGTAACAGTTCATTATTAGTATAGTCTCCCTCCTATAGAGTCAGTATCTGCTTCCTAAGATGTTGCAGAATTGGATTTGGAGGCTACCTAGCCAGAAACAATGTCCCAACTCCACCACAGGACTGTTGGCTTGACCCAGGCATTGTAGGAAACACCAGACAACTGAACCATAACCAATTCTTCCCCCCAAGCCAGACTTTCTACCACTCACCCTCACTCCAAAAGTTAATCCCAGGGCTTCCCTGGTGGCGCAGTGGTTGAGAGTCTGCCTGCCAATGCAGGGGACGCGGGTTTGAGCCCTGGTCTGGGAAGATCCCACATGCCGCGGAGCGGCTAGCCCCGTGAGCCACAATTGCTGAGCCTGCGCGTCTGGAGCCTGTGCTCCGCAACAGGGGAGGCCACGGCAGTGAGAGGCCCACACACCACGATGAGTGGCCCCCACTTGCCACAACTAGAGAAAGCCCTTGCACAGAAACGAAGACCCAACACAGCCATAAATAAATAAATAAGTTAATCCCACACGATGTCTCCTCCCTCATGTTACCCCCTCCTAAATCAAATTTTATACCCATTCATCTGATTGGCAGAGTCTCGGTCACATGATTGGGCCCTAGATGCAAAAGAATCTGAGGAAGGAGGTTGTGGATTCTACCTTAGGAAGGCAAGAATCATAACTGGGAATTCCTCTAATACAGGAAAGGTGCTCAAAAGACACTAAGGATCCACCACGTACATGGTAAATGTCCACTACAATCCATCACTGGCTGCCCAACATGAATGTGCACTATTTTTTCACACCTAATCCTCCTAAAAACAAAAATTCTCCCATTGAACATAATTTTCACTACCTTTGGTACAAAGGAAAATGAGGCTTAACTCTCCCTAGAGCTGAAATGACCCAGTCTCTTAAGTTACCACTTTCAACTCCAAGTTCAGGATCTCTAGGTGATAGCCATTCCACCTCTAACTTAGTCACACTCCCAAACTGATATCCCTAAACCATAGACTAAATGTAAAGTTCACCACCAACAACATACCACATATAAAATAGCAGGACGACAGAGGAGAGAGAAAAAGGAAATCTGTTAAAGTATGCAAAAACAACCAGGACAGAGCAGGAAGAAGATACGGGCGAATAGTGCAGACTTCATTTCTGAAGCTCTATCTTTTCCATTCCCTTGCCCTCAGCCAGTGCAGGTGAAACAAAACTTGAGTATAGGTGGACCTGAACCTTAATGATGCTATGAAGCTATCTGACTAGCCCTGGACTACCTACCTCTCAATTTCTAATTGCACGAGTGAAAAACAGGAATCCTTCATTTGTTTACACCTCCACTTTTTGGTCTATGGGGTGCATGGCCACGGAACAGAACTTTTCCACATCCAGTTTCTCCTCTGTTCCGCTGATGCCAGAGTAATACTGACAGCTTCAGCAAATAAGAATACAGGACCCACAATTAAAGTTGAATATTAGAGAGACAACAGTTTATTTTATTATAAGTATGTCCCATTCAATACTGGGACATACGTGTACTGAAAAATGATTTCTTGTTCATCTGAAATATAAATTCAACTGGCACTCTTTATTTTATCTGGCAACTCTAGAGAGTGAAAGAATTGGTGCAGAGGCTCCTCAGACATTGGGAATATGTGTAAATGTTGTACTCTAGAGATGGTCAGAGCTGAGGGCAACAGAGCACCCAGCCAGTACATACTAAGGAATGGATCACCTCAGCCACAAGCCCAAGATGAGACCAAGGGCATGACAGAATGATTTGGGGAAAGTATTCATCCCCTGTGCTTCACCATCTCTGAACTAAATACCCTATAAATTTCCAAGAGAAATGACACTCCACCAAGTTATCCCACTCTTCCCTGGACTCGCTGCTTCTCGAAGTCTGGGGAAAACAACAGAAGTGCTTGAAACCCAGTTATGAGAGCTACGAGTTGTGTGATATGGATCACGTTAATGTGTCTGACTCTCAATTCTACATTTGTAAAGTGACAGTAATGGTAATTCCCAAGGTTGTGGTGGGGAAAAAAAGAGTCAAACCTCAGATACTGACATCTGTGTATATTCTATTTCAATCAAACAAGCTTGATTCCTAATGTGAGAGTAGGAAACCCCAGCACCCCAGGAGCAAACCATCCTTCTATATCTACATTCCCATTAGCAGGACTCTATTTCTCTATTTGTCTTTGGTGGTAGAACAGAAAGGGCCCTTCATTTGAAATGAGGAAAGTCTGATTCTGAACCATAAGCCTTGATAGACAGATTCATAAAATTGAGATAATACTACCTACTTCACAGGGTTGTTATGAAAATATTAATATATCTAAGATTATGACAATGAATGATATGCATACTCTCTCAAGAAATGCTAATTCCAATCCCCTTTGCTCTTGTGATAAGGTATGTAAAGTCCAGTCGTAGGGTTTGACCACTTCCCGCATCTAATCTTGTATCATTCTCTTCTTCCAGTGAAGTTTTGATTTGGAGGAAGAGAGAGATCCACATCAATATTTTTTCAAATGGCAGGTAATCATCCTTTAAGCGGGGTGCAGCTTCTGTTTTACTATGGAGTGGAATAAAATGGAATGGAATGGAGTGGGAACTAATGGAGAGCATTGCACATAAGGATAAATACTGTTTCCTGAAACTCTTGATTCATTCACACGTGTGTAAGTTTATGTTCATGTACTCACACATCAATATAGTATACGCATTGGGTCGTTCTGCAAAATGTATTTCCTGCTGTGGGTCATGGCCATAAAAGCGCACGTGCTTTCTGAATGCGCAGTGTAAAGCCTTTCCCCCACCCATGTCTCTGATGGGGCTTTAATGAGCTTCCCTACCTGGGAAAGACATGATCCTTCCATCTCCCACCACAGATGAGGCACCAGGCTCGAGAGCTCATCCCTGAAGCCACGACTCAGGAGTTCAGGACTCAACCTTGTCTCCAGCAAAACAGAGGGCATCTCTGGGGAAACTTCTGATTAGAAAGATAACCAGCTCAGAATGAGAGAAGAAAAGGTGACCATGCAGTTCCTGTGGGTACCAGCCCTGCCCTGCCTTCACTTGCTGGGAGTTATAAACCCAAGACTGGAAAATAGAAGAGGCACCTGTCCTGGACAGCCTCTCTGAGAAGATGCATCATCCTCCTCTCCCCTCGCTGCTCTTCCTCCTCTGCTCCAGAGCTGAAGCTGGTGAGTGTTGGGTCATTCCATCTGGAAGCTGCAGCATCAAGACTAAATAAGATTTTAGTCTGAAAGTAGCTGACTCTTAAACAGAACCCCAGATCTCTCCCCAAGAGCCCAGAGTGAATTTCCACTGGGGTTGTGGTCACCCATTCTCTGCAGCCTGTGGTAGTTCCCAGGAACGAGGAACCCCACTTTGATCGGGGGAAAGCCCAGAGCAGGCAGGATGAAGAGGGTGTCTTCTCTTTATATAACGTGTGACACTGCTTAAAGTCCTGTGTTGCCTTCGCCTTCTGGCCTTGTAATTTGGCCGATCTGTGAGCACTCATGGGATATGGAGACGGTTGAGACAGGAACCTGGAGAGCTTGTCCTGCACGGTGACAGAGGAGAGTCGAGCAGGTGCAGAATGGGAGTGGGGGAAATCCGAGGTGAAACACGACGGCATGGCATCTGAGGCCGAGCTGGCTGCTGTGCCTGGAGGAAGAAGAGCAGGTACCAGAGGCACCAGAGAGGGAGGGTGGGCAGATCACAGGAGGAGGATGCATTAGAAAGAAGCCTCTCCCAACTTTAACCCAGCTTGTGCATTTTCTGTGTTCAAGCCCTGGGGTTCTCTGTTCCAGGGGACATCATCGGGGGCACAGAGAGCAAGCCACACTCCCGCCCCTACATGGCCCACCTGGAACTTGTCACTCCCCAGGACATGCTGGTGGCTTCTGGTGATTTCCTGATGAGAAGGGACTTTGCCCTGACGGCTGCTCACTGTGCAGGAAGGTGAGACAACAGGGTCCTGTTTATCTCCGAATGGGAGGTAAACAGCCAGAGGGGCAACCAGGGACACCCCCTGGGGGGCCTGAGGGGGACCTCCTGGGTCTGGGTCTCTTTAAGGAGAGGCAAGACTTGGGCTTAAGGAAATCGGTCTCATAACTGAATAGCTCCCCTGACACTCAGTCACTGTGAGCTCAGCTCTCCTCAAAGGAAAGGAGACCCCATCCCAGCACCCCTCTTCCAAAAGTAGCTCCCTCTCCCCGACCCCAGCACATGAGATATGGACTCACTCTTCAGGGTCCCACCCAGTTCTCTGGGCCACTTCCTCTATGTCCTTTTCAGGAACACTGGCCTTCAGTTCCCAGGGACCTGAACCCATCCTTTCCATGGGAGACAGAGAACAGCGTCCACCTGAGACCAGCACTTCCCCCTTCCCTCTGACACCTCTGGCTCCAAAGGGCTGGCCCTGATTGGGAAATGCCAATCCTGTCCCCTGGGTCCTCCATGACCTGCTCAGTCCCCAGCAAGTCCCAAGGGTCTTGGAAATTGTCTCTGTTCCCTGGGAAAGTTCTTCCCTGAGTAAAACCTGAGCCCCTCCAATACCACAAGTGGCCCAGATAAAGGAGGCTGGGAAGAAACCATTGACCCTGGGAGAGACTCTGTCCCCTTTTCTCAGAATGGGCATATCTCAGGAGAAAATCACACTGTCACTGTTTTACCTTGTCCTTCTTCTCCCTCACAAAGGTCTATAATGGTCACCCTTGGAGCCCATAACATAAAAAAGAAAGAAGACACATGGCAGAAGCTTGAAGTCGTACAACAGTTCCCTCACCCAAAATACAATGACTCTATTGTTCGCCATGACATCATGTTACTGAAGGTGGAAATTCTTCTTCCCCTTCTCCACTTCCTGTTCTCCAGGGCTTCTCCTTCAGGTCCCATTGCCCTGACATTTCCCCAACCTGCCTCTACCCCTCAACTCTCCCCTTGGAAGTGGCTGTAATGTGAAGCAAGTCGCCCTATTCCTCCCTGATTGTCTCCAGTTGCCCTCAAGCCCATTTCTAGTTCTGACAGCCCTCGTTTCCTTCACAGCTGAAGGGGAAAGCCAACCTGACCCTGGCCGTGGGGACACTCCCCCTTCCACCCCAATTCAACTTCATCCCACCCGGGAGAATGGGCCGGGTGGCTGGCTGGGGAAGAACAAATGTTCAGGAGCCGGGCTCCAACACTCTGCAAGAGGTGAAGCTGAGACTCACGGAGCCCCAGGCCTGCAGACACTTCACTACTTCGACCACAATCTCCCGCTGTGCATGGGCAATCCCCAGAAGACAAAATCTGCACTTAAGGTGATCCTCAGACTAGGGTCTTCTCCACAATCACTGTTCAGGGTCCGGACATCTCCTGGAAGGAGATGGAGTCAGCAGAGTGTCAGCCAGTGACAAAGTTTGAGATCATAGGACTGAGGAGCTGGAACTGTCCCTGGGCTGATCATCCTCCCGCGGCCCCAGGCAGTCTCTGACTATCCCTCCCAGGCTGCTACACAGGGTCATGGGGTGCCAGGAAGGAAAGCAAGAAGCAGCATCAGACAGAGACATAGAACCTCATGAGGAACCAGGGTTCTCGCCGCTGATGCTATTGGGTTGGCCAAAAAGTTCATTCGGGATTTTCCATAGATGTTATGGAAAAATCTGAACAAACTTTTTGGCTAACCCAATAGGTCTGACCAACTCAGAGTTCGTCCATGGGGAGGAGTGGGTGGTTCCCTGGCTCACCTTTCCTCTCTCTCTCTCCCTTTCCCTCTCTGTCCCACAGGGAGACTCAGGGGGCCCTCTTCTCTGCGCTGGGGTGGCCCAGGGCATTGTCTCCTATGGACAGTGGGATGCAAAGCCCCCTGCCATCTTCACCCGGATCTCCCATTACTGGCCCCGGATCAATAAGGTCCTGAAAGAGAATTAACCTGGAACCTGGGCCAGCCTGAAGGGAAATCTGGAACTGGACCCAAGCAGGTTCTCTGTGCCACTCACTCTGGATCTGCCTCTGGTTCCTGCTCAAGTCCCACCACACCCCTAAGCCTCAGGAAGGCTCCTCCAGATCACAGAATTCCCAATAATTCCCAATAAATCCCCACTTCCAGAACTGAGTGTGTGTCTCCTCTCTCTGCTGCTGTCTCCTGCCAGCGTCAGGCATTCCGTAAGCCTTGAAAGGGGTGGGTGTGTGATGTGTGTGTGAGAGAGACAGAGACAGAGAGGAAACGGTGAAGAAAAATAGGGAAAGTGCTTCCCTGGTGGCGCAGTGGTTGAGAATCTGCCTGCCAATGCAGGGGACACGGGTTCGAGCCCTGGTCTGGGAAGATCCCACATGCCGCGGAGCAACTGGGCCTGTGAGCCACAACTACTGAGCTTGTGCGTCTGGAGCCTGTGCTCCGCAACAAGAGAGGCCACGACAGTGAGAGGCCCGCGCACTGTGATGAAGAGTGGCCCCCGCTCACCGCAACTAGAGAAAGCCCTCACACAGAAACGAAGACCCAACACAGCCAAAAGTAAATAAATTAATTAATTTTAAAAAAAATAAAGAAAAATAAGGAAAGAAAGAAAAGAAAGGGATTCCCTGGAGAGGCAGGACCCGTATTTCCAACATAAAGAAGAAACTACACCAGATCCTTCCTTGCCTTCAACGTCAACTCAACACCAACTCTGATTTATCTTTAGGGATATTCAGAATCACTAAGAACATTTTGAATTGTAGGATGTTTAGAGCACCCCTGACCTCTCCCCACTAGACGTCAGTAGCAACAGCCTCGTCTCAACCAACTTATGAATCAAAACCATCTCCAGGCTTTGCTATATGTCCCCTGGGGGTGTGGCTGGGGAGGGGTGAGGGAGCTGGGCAGGAATCACCCTCTGTTGAGAACCCCCAGGTTAGATGCATTTGGCAGCGCGCTGGGCCCTCCTCACAGTCCACCTCGATAAGAAAAGATCTACCATCTGTGGAGCTTTGATCTGAGACGCAGAGAAGACCATCTGTCACTCACTTCTGCAAAACAAATACATGGAACAGATAAGAGGAGGGACAGCATCACAAGTTCTGCATGAACGACAGCCACAAACGGCTGCTCCGTAACCAGCAGGAAGGTGAAGGCCTAGAGCCTGCTTGGCCTCCAACTCTTGCCAGTTGAGGGACTGGCCGGAGGAGAGAAAAAGGGCGGGATAGGGACAGACACAACCGGAGCCTGTGGCTGATACCACTCCTCGCTTCTGAGGGCATGGTGATTCCCTTCAATTAAGTGAACTCTTTCCAGAAATTCATCTTTAATAAAGAGATATACACAAAAGTTTATGAATAAAAATTTTAATCTCAGCATTTTCAGTAGTAGAAAAACTAGATTCCCAGCCGTGGAACAAAGTTTAAATAATAAATTCATATGATTGAATATTTTGAAATTATTAAAAATTTATTTCAAAACATTGAATCATGTAGGAAAATGCAATATAACAGAATGCTTTTTAAAAGCAACATAAACATCTCCCTGTAGTAGAATCTCAATTTTTGTAATTATATATTATATGTGTGCATAGAAAGAAAACTAGAAGAAATTAACATCAAAATAATTATGGTGGTTACTCTAGATGCTAGGATTAACAACTATCTTTATTTCCTTTATATGCTGGCTCCAAACCCCTGGTATTCTAACTATTGCTGACTCAGTACCACACATGGACCTACCTATGCATAAGCACATACACCCATTCATTCTTCCGCTGGTCAAGGTTTGCTCTGTTGGGGGTAAATATCCTTGCACTTCCAGATCGCATCACTCAGCCCATATCCAGGATGTGGCTAAAGAAGCTAAGCCTTCATGGGATCCCTTGGGTCAGTGCACAGGCATGGTGGTCTCTCCTTGCCAATTAGTGCCTCGCATGGACGTTCTTTTGCCTTTAGCAAAGGTAGTGGTGGCTAGGGATTTATACCCATGGGAATGGTGTGAGCTGGGAAGTATAGCTGATTGAGCTGATCAGAGGTAGTGGATAAAATGGTCCTGACGAAGCCTTCCCTATGCCACCCAAATCCACTTGCACCTTCTTACAGTATCTGGACCTTGCCTGAGACCAAGATGCCCATCCTTCTTTCCTGAGAGGGAAGGTACAAGTTCAAACCTTCAGTTTAATAGCCAATCACAGTCTCCTAAAAAGACTTAAAGAGGGTTGGCAAATCAAGATACAGGGTCCTGTGCTGCAGCTGCTCCCGGGTCTTAATTGATATTTCTCATCTCACCCCTCTACCACCCATTCTAGATTTCCCTCCCCTTTGGCCAACACTTGAGTTGGCCTGGGTTATATGTCTGCTGGGGTTACCCAGACTTCTAACCCTGAGGGGGCTGAGTCTTTAGCTGCCTTATATTTGACAGGTTTGACTAGTTGCTGTTGCCCATTTGTAATGATCACTGAGCACTAAAGTACAAGGGGTGTCCCCAGCGAATCCCCTGGGTTCAAGTCATACTCTTCTCTTCACCCTTTGTACGGCAACAACCCTAGCTTCTCACAGGCAGCGTGGTCACTTACTCCAGCCAGTATCGTACCTCCTTTCTTTGCCTGCTGGTCCACTGATATGAGGAGCCCAAAATGGCCAGGGGATAGTCACAACTTCCAGTTCACGGAGCCTTTACCACCTCCCTTGGTGAAAGCATTTTCTTCCTAAAAATTCGGACTCACAGCAACATGGCTTTCAACTTCACTCACTCCACGTAGCTCCAGTGAAAGCTGCAGTAACTAAAAGAGCCATGCTTTATGGAAGTGAGTGCCCTCTCTCATCCTCCTACTCCTTTTCTAACTTTTCATCCACCTTCTCCTTTCCTTCCATCTCTTCCACCATCCCCACACCTACCCAAACCAGGCCAGGTCACAGATAAGCCAATATCAATTCATCAGAAGTGTCCCTAAAGGTGATCCTCAGTCCCATGGCTTCTGGCAGTCTCTATCCCTTATACCCTCTCATCTACACCAAAATCATGTTTGTGACAAAAAAAACAGAGAGCTCTCCTGAGCCCAAGGTCTTAGGACAAAGTGGGAAGCATCATGGGCCTACAGGTCTCTGGAATCTCAGGTCTAATTAAGTCATCCACAGTAAATGAAAGGTATCAGGCCAATGAATGAGAGGCCAGTACAGGGTAGGATATCTCCAAGCCAGGAAAGGGATGCTTAGGCTTCAGCCAAACTTGGCCCTAGAGCCAACTCTGAGTGCACCTGAAATCCAGCCTGCCACTAACACCAGAGTGACCCCAAATTTCTAGAGAATTCTAGGCAGAATTTTTGAAATTAAGCCAAGCCTTTTCTTAACATTCTTTGCCACATACTTGATGCTTATCACCACCTACCGCTGGAACCAGGACTGGGAAACCAGCACAGAAGCCCTCCAGTCCCAGGATACCTGACAAGAGCCTACGGCGAATGCCGGGCCACAGTTCTGGGATCATCAAACAGACTTCACTCTAATTTATAGGAGACAGGAGGACAGGCCTTCCTGCCTGGCTCCTCCTTCTGAAGTGACTCTCCTGCCTCCATAGCCTCCCACACCTAGGCTGCCTACACTGAGGGACTGCCAACATCTCCCGCTTGCTCCTGCCTCACAGCTTGGGAGTCCTAACTCCAAATCTAGTTAGAAATGCAATACAATGTGAATTGAAGAAAGCAGAATCAAAAATGTATATTCACTTTGACTGCAACAGTGTGGAATACTGTACGTTTGGGGAGAAAACTGGACAGAATTCTTCAAAAATGGAGATAATTGTGTCGGAATTATAATTAAATAAATGGCTTATCCATTCTCTATAAAATTATTTCTATATTTTTACAAATGACCATAAACATGAAAAATGCAGAGAAACAAAAGTGCTTTCTGAAACTGCTTAGATGCTCAGCGAATGATCTTATCCCTGTTACTCCCATACACAGCACAGTCCCCAGGGAGCAGGGAAACCACAGGACACAGTGCCATGCTGTCCAGGAAAGAAGATGGGGGAGGGCAGACTTCCTCAGGATTGTCCAGAGGCTGTGCTGGGAGGGACCACCTATGGGAGAACTTTAAGGATGCCCTGAAGGCAGTGTCTGGGTCTGCCCCGGGCCATGAGCCCAGAAAATAAGAAGCTCTTCTTGGACACAGAGTGTGAAAAAAGCTGTTGATGCCACACTGATCTCTTCAACCAGCTCACCCAGAAAAGACAAGATCAACCACCAGTGCAGATTTGATTCGGAGATGCAGAGAAAGTCATGGCTCCAGCTGTCAGATGCTGGGGTTTGATAAGAGGAAGGAAAACTTTACAACATCTGCAGGAGAATTAGCCCAAATATAAGAGGATTTCCCCATGCCATGGAAAAGAAGAGCCTAGGACCTGCCCAGCACAAACACTACACAATTACAGTCCAAAGCAGACAGCTTCCCTGGGTTCTACCAAAAAGGCAGGGACAGAAGTGAGGAGGCTAGGGATTTCCCCGACGGTCCAGTGGTTCAGCCTCCACGCTTCCACTGCAGGGGGCGTGGGTTCAATCCCTGGCCAGGGAACTAAGATCCCGCGTGCCGCGAGGTACAGCCAAAACATTAAATTAATTAAATTTTTAAAAAAGAAGTGAGGAGGCTAAACAGTGTACCTCCACCCAGAGCTGAGCCTTCACCTAAGGCAACGGGAGCTGTCTCCCTCCCTCTCTGCCTCCCATCATTCCCCTGGTTACTGTGGCACCCTCGCCATCCAGCCTGATATAGAGAATTGGTGGATAAACCTAAGGAAATCTCCCAGATATTAGAGCAAAAAAAAGACTGACGAAAACTAGAGAAATAAAAAGAATATTGGAGCACCAGTCTAGGAAATTCAACACCTGAATAACAGAAGTTTGTGTCAGCATAAAATTAAAACATTTTCAAATAGTTTACTTCCCAGCCCCCTTTCTCAGCACTGGAGGATGTGCTCCACCAACACAAGAGAATAAACCAAGAAGTGAAGAGAGATCCCAGGATGACAGCCTTTGGTGTGGGGAAAAATCAAAAGTGGGGAATGGGGCTAGTATTTTCATAAACGTTCTTGCAGAATCACTTAACGATTTAACTATCTGCGTGCACATTTGATAATAATAAAGCACGCGAAAGGCAGGTGTCGAGTAGCTATTTACTGGGGAACAGAGCATTCCAAATGAAGAGGGCTGGGAAGGGGTACATGTCCAGCAGACGGCACCACTGAGCAGCAGGCAAGACAGCGTGGGAGACAACCAAAGAGCTTGTATGTTGGGTGGATGGTGATAGAAGACAGGCATTCCAGGCAC